GCCTCCCAAAGTCCCTTTCCAATAATCCTGACTTCGCATCCGTCTGCTGTCCCCCCCTGCCCGGTTCCCCCTGCCCTAACGACAAACACTACGGCAAAAGCGAAAGCCTTACTAGAGGGACAGCGTCTTGAGCCTGCCCATCCCGGCCCACTCCCTGGGGAGCGGCCCTGTGAAGCCGTTGGTGAACATCTCAAGCACCTCCATCGACTGCCAGGCCGCGCCAAAGACGGGGCTCAGCGTGCCGGTGAGCCTGTTTCCACTGTGAGATGCAGGATCACGGACGAGTGCCGGTGTGAGAGACAGACTGTGTGTGTGTGTGTGTGCGCGTGTGCGTGTGTGTGTGTGTGTGTGTGTGTGTGTGTGTGTGTGTGTGTGTGTGTGTGTGTGTGTGTGTGTGTGTGTGCGCGCGTGTGCGCGTGCGTGTCTGCTTGAGTGCATGCGTGGGACGGGGATTGCAAACGTAGAAACAAGGAGGGCTGGCACCGGGCGCTGCAGCCACTGCGCCCATCTCTCCCATCTGACTCGGCCGGCCAGGGGATGCAGTTTCGCATCAGAGCAGGGATTAACGAGATTTGCTTTTCACTGCTGCTGCCTGTGGCACGCGGCAACCCGTTATTGCCACTCTCCCCGACTTTGACCCCTGCGTCTGCGCAACCCTTCCCGCATAAGAGAGTGCCCTGTAGCCGTTTCACATGTCACCTCCAGAGGTGAAACATTCGCGTATTTGGGGGGCAGGATCCTGCCCCCCAATAGACCCCTGCTGGGGACCGAGCCTGTGTCGCCCGGGCCCTTTCATGATGATTGGAGGCAGGAGGCAGGCGAGACAGCAAATGTTCTTGAATGCACAGTGATTGAGGCTCACGTGATGTGCAGCGTCTTGAGCCTGCCCATGCCGGCCCACTCAAAGGGCAGCGGCCCTGTGAAGGCGTTGGTGGACAGCTGCAGCGCCTCAATTGCCGTCCAGGCCGCGCCCAAGGCGGGGCTCAGCGTGCCCGTGAGCTTGTTTGTACTGCGAGGCGGAGGATGATGCAGGGCAGGGGCCGTTGTGTGTGTGTGTGTGTGTGTGTGTGTGTGTGTGTGTGTGTGTGTGTGTGTGTGTGTGTGTGTGTGTGTGTG